GGCCAATTTTTGTAGGTAACATTAACCTTTGACATTAAACGCCCATTCCGAAGTCTCTTCAAACCAAATGGCCGATTGGGTGGCATCTCCGATGCACCAAAGATAATCATTGACGGTCATATGCTGACATTCCTTTTCGTAGCATTTTGATGCGATACTCAATGTACCATTCCCGTGTACAAAAAAAGTGACTGACTATTTTGGGACAAACTGACTGTAAAAACAAGCAACCTTAGTTAAATTTAGTTACTCTTCAATCAATTAAAGTAAGCTATGGTTAACTACAACAGCTAACTATAGTTGACAATAATCATAGTCACTCGATAGTCAAAACGTCCCAAAATAATCGCCTGACTAACTGAGTAACTATAGTCGATTGTTTTCCATACAAAATTTTAAAATTCATGAATATAGCTAACTATAGTCACTTACAGTCAATAGTAACTTGGTCACTTTTTTCCACTCGAGTTGCCATGTTGAATGGTGGTCCGAATGGGTACGTCTTCAGATGATTCTTTTCTTCGATATCAAACCATCCAGCTAATTTTTTCGCCTCTTTTTCCCTTCGTTTCTGCTGAGTTTCCCAGTAAAATCGCGTGTTTGGTATTGTGATGTTTTCCTTCATTATTCAAATTGATAAAAAATTCTGAGTTTCGATTCAAACATATTTCAAATTACATTTCAAAATATCTCACCTCAACGGCTGGTTCATCAGGATGTTGCGACGTATTATAGCCAACCACGTTTTTTCATTCGGATCGATGCCATTAACGTATCTCTTGCCTACAAGATTGTCCGCCTGTAAATGCACATTTTCGTTGCACGTTCGCTCTGGTTTGGTGTACAGTACCGATACGGAAACACTATTGGTCACGGATTGATGATGGAATTGTTTGGATCGTTTGCCCAATTGTTTGATTTTATCGACGTCGAACAACAAATTCCATAGTCCATCTCGATCATGATCTCTGTAGTATTTTTCAGGGTATTTATTTAGCCGGTTGGTATCAGTATTCAAGAATCTGGGCACCACTTTTAGCTTGCTTGCCAATTTGTTATACAAATCTCTCATATCCAATCGCACGCAATTCACATGATAATCGCATAACGGTACAAGAGCAAAAGTGTTTATTTTCCGTGGGCGATTGTTTGTTGACTGTTGAAAGTTTGGATTGTCACGAAATATTTCATGAATAGTATTCCATTGTGTGGCATCACTGTGATAAGATGCTATTTGACGTTGATTTTGTCCGAATAACCACAACGATTCAAACCAATGATCCTTTACTTTCATGCATTTTTGCGTCGCCATCCAATTGCGACCAGATCATCCAATAAAATTTTGGCCTTTTCTATTCTTTCCACATTACCATTTGTCAAGTCGTTGGATCGATATGCTAACATTTTGGCATTTCTGATGTCGATGCCATCAAATCTCGGTCCAAAGATGTTGTGGTTGCGATACCAGCATTGCATTCGAAAGAATGACTCAAGTCGAACTTCACACCAAGTGGTGAGAGCGGTTTTCGTATTTGCGAAGTGCTGTTTGACAAAATAACGAAAACTATTCTCCAACTTTTCATTGTTCGGCCATTCGAACTGTTCATCACTGAAGTTTTCGACCATGAACTGAAACTCTGGCGGTATGCGATAATCGGTATTATTATTGTAAACATTTTTGGCCAATACCGCATTAAAGCATTCGAAGAAGAACTTTCGACGATCCCATCGCAAAAAGAACTGACGATCTACATTATCGAGTGCTTCATTCACCTTGAATAAAATCAAAAGTGTGGCCAATGAGGCAACTTCCGTCATTCGTAGACTGCGCTCAAACAATATTTGCGTCACAACTGCTGCATGCTTGGGTCGAAGTATTGTTTGCAATCCACATTTTATTGCAACGAAATTATTTTCTTCTTCTCTTTCGTCATCGTATACCGGCGAATCGTTGTTATCCCTTTTTCTTTTCACTTTCGAAGAACTGATACAAATAAACGAAAATAAAAATATAGACACAAATTTAGAAAAAAATGGACAAACACAATAAGATAAAACCAATTCTATCACAAATCAAATGAAATAGTAATGAAGAACGCGCATCATAAATATCACGTCTTACCTCAACAAAGTGACTCTGTGTTCTAAATCGAATGATGAAATTTATTTCCAATGTGACATCAACACTCTGTTATATCAAAATTAAACAAAGACAGCCACAAAACCAACTGTGAATACATCCATTCCACAGCGAACAGCGTTCCGAACACACAAAATCGTTGAAATTGAAATGACAATTAAATCAACTGACTGCCCAAACCACGCTTCGAACACTCTCAAAACAAAGTTTTAATGTAAACAAAATCGGTTGGTGCGATTGTAGTTTCAAAGTGATGGAAGTTGTTTATACTAACAATACTGTCACACGATGCGATCACATTTTTAATACATATAAATGAATATCGTTGGATTTGGTTTGACACATATACACCGCGCGAAAAGAAAATTTTCAGAAAGTTGCATTTCGATAATTGAAAATACTAATTCCACAAATAAAGAAATATACATGCAATATGACGTATTAAAGAGTTCTTCTGCAGAGTTTTAAATTAATATTAAAAAATCTCTTTCCGAAAAAATTGTTTATTTTTTTATTTGAGCGTAAATGAACAAATGAATTGTTAGATTTTCAATTTAAAACTTAATGTGTTGGGTTGTGTTCAGTGAATCACTGTTCACATTATGTTGTCAAATGAAATATTATTGGAATTCGTGGAAACTATGCATATAATATCCGTTCCATTTGACACGAAAATCACCACCAGAATGGGCAAAAACGTCACATTTTTCAACGTTAGAATGTACTAAAAACATTACAATTACAATTGGATAGCTAGTGTTGTAAGTGCTGAAATGTATATTGCGTGTCGAGGCAACCGCATACATATACGAGAAAAAAAACACAAATGTTGCGTAATTTTTCTTCTTTGGATATTCTTATTTGCGAATCTGTAGAGTGCTTTTGAATGAATTTTTCGATAGTTAAATGCAGCGCTTTTTTTGTTGCATAGATGTTGGAAACGTTTTTTTTTTTTAATCGTGATTCACAATTTGTGACGCAGCTGAGATCTCCCTCTCTCTTTCTCTCACACCTTTTCACAATTGATATTCGATTTGAGCTAGTTGTTATTGTATCGTATACTACCGTGGAAGGTAAACATTTTTGCTACAATAATTTTTCGGTTTTGTATGCGACCGATGTACAATTGAGAGAGTTGTCGTTTTGTTGTAAATGATTATGATGCTTTCAACTGAACAAAGATGACATATATTTTCATGTTTTCATTCGAATATTCGAGTTATGCTCTTTGGCTTAATCGATTTCACAGTGTCTTCTTCTTTTGTTCATTTAAATGAGACAGTTTTGCATGAACAAGAAACAAACGGTGAAATGAATGTTTTAGAATGAACGTTTTTTTCAAACTCATTGAAATAAAAAACAATACACACGCATAATTTTTTTTTTAATAATACAATTTTAGTGAATTTAGTAGACAAACTGCGTATAAAGTGGCTACTCCTTTCTTTATTCCTTCCCAAGAAACAACGTGTTAACGCAAAATCATCTGATTTTCCGTATTAACGCAAGTTCATGGTCGAATTTTGAGAAGCATTTGTGTGTAGTTTCAGTCAAAATGGCTATTTTCTAATACAATATATCGGTACGTTTGGCAAAGTCACATTACAAACGTTGTTTGATATTCAAAGTCAAGCGAAAGAAAAAATAATTGTTAAAAACTAATTTCTAAATTAAATGATGTGTTAAATGAGGGCTGCCATCATATTATATTCCGTTTGCACCTTGCAAAATGTTGTCTTCATGTCTTAATTTGTGTGAAATTTGTACGAGATCAGCTTTGCTACTGCGAAATCACGATACCAAAGAGTTGTAAACGATGGTTGAGCAGCTCCCTCGATTTCAACGTTTACATTATTTTGTTGCCATGTTTGAAGAAGCTTTGCTTACTGAACGATTCGGTCCATCTCGAAGAGTTGCAGCCATTTCAAGCAAACTATCTAAATTACAATGCAAATTTTTAAAATGTAAACAAAAAAATGTTCGTCTCTGTTTTCGAATTCGAAATTATTTTTCGTTCCAAAAATAAATTTCTTTTGCTGAAATCACTTGAAATCTATTTTTAAGTGAATTGTTTATTTTTAAATTATGCGCCAAACGAATCATAAGATTGAAATACAAAACTTAGCCTCATATCAGCCCTTATTCACATTTTATACTATGAAAAACAACAAAAAAATGGATGCATGTAAATAAACCAAATGGAATGTGGAATCTGTGGAATCTTAATTGTAAACGATGCATATTATCTATCGTTTCATTTGATACGATAATGACCACCAGAATGGGCAAAAGCGTTACATTTTTCAACGTTAAAAATATATAAAAACATTTTATATCAAATCTTATTTTCTATAAACAAAAAAAACAGTATTTTTGCACGACAATTTAATGACCGGTAAAAATAAATGAATTAAATACAACAAGTCATAAATAAATAGCTAATTAATATAACATTAAATAAAATTAAACAAGTGTAAAAAAAAACATCAAAACAATTTATATTAAATGAGAATTTAGAAGAAAAAAATCGAAAGTATTTAAAAAAAAACACATGTCCAATGAGATAGATGTAGCTTAATAAAATACATGAATGTTCGAAAGATGCAACCCGAAAATTTCTATTTCGCTAATTTAATGAAAGTAATCAGTTTTGAGCACGCAATTTTCTTAAAATATCGTATACACATTCGGATTTTCATATTATCAGCCCGAAAGAAGGCCATCTTTACTTTGCGCTCACTTCTTTAAATTTTATGTTGAATTGATATTTACTAAATTAAGTGGCTAAAAGAAATGAAACCACAAGGAAATAAAACTTCAAAAAAAAAAACAGTCCATCAATTTTTCTGTTGAACGAAGATTTTTTTTTGTACGTATTGTTTCATTGAGCTTGAAATCGATTTTATTTTGAAAGTCGATATCATGGATTTTTTTCCTGCTTGAAATCAAATGAAATGCCATGTACAGCAAGGTTCAAATGAAATATTGCTTAATTCTTTTATATCTCTAGCTATGCACAGGAATTAAATACAAAATCCGAATGCATACAAAGAATAACACAAATTCAAATCGCCGATCGATACAACTAGCCTATAATACCTTCAAAGTAATACCTCGTTTTTAAAAGACACAATATATTCTTTCCAATAACCATTTTCGGTGTGCTTAATGACACAAATATTTTGCTTTAATCCAAAACAACAAATGTTGTTAAATAAATATCAATTTCTTATGGTTAGATCGAATTATAATATAGTAAAAGGGAAAAGAAGTAAAGACAATTTAGAAAAACGAAAGAAGCATTTTTACATGTCACGAGCAAAGTACAATAATTACGATAGGAGAGTATGTTGAAAAAAATTTGAAAAAAGAGGAGAAAATTTCTTAGGATGATTGTGTTAATAGTGAATAAAGAGCGTAAGTCTCTTCAAATAAGAAAAATAGTTAAAAGAGAGCATCCACCTCAGAGGACATGCTCTCTTTTAAATATTTTTTTATGCAATAACTAAAAGTCAGAAAAACAAGCTCACCTGGAGGATTAGATGGATTCAATAGAACTATTTGAACACTATTATATTTTATGTAGTCTGTATGTATGTAAGTATGTATGTGTATATGACATAAAAACCTAAAAGTGAGATTCGTTTGATTCCAGAGAGAGAGAGAGAGAGAGAGAGAGAAAGAAAGAAATCACATTTTTGTACCCTTTTTTCTATTTCGAAGACAAACTCTAATACAATAAGTATTAATAATTTCATCGAACGTAATTAATAATTAGGTTTTGTATTAACGGAATTTAAAACAAAAAAAAAAACATTGTAAACTGTTATGCGCAAAACAATCTTCAAGAACACGAGCTCTTGCAATTGCATTGGTTGATTACATTTCATATGGGTGTTGATATAGTAAAAGTGTTTATTTATTAGAATGCCGAAAGGTAGCTGCTGTTTTTTTTTGTTCCTTTTGTTACACACTTTTAAAGTTAATGTAAACTGCCTAATTCATAACACTTTTCAAGTGCCGCACCTGAATACAAAGAGCGACACTTAAAAAAAGTGCCCGCACCTCCGCGGTATCTATAACAGCTCTGATTCAATAATAAACGGATGTTGCGTACGATCTAGTTAAATCCTAGGGGAAAATGACGACTTATAAGTTCGACGAAAGCTATAGAATTGTACGAAAAACTTACAAAAACTTAGACGAACCTATGAAATCGCACGCTTCTTATGAGAATCTATACGAACTAACGCTTTGTCCATATACATTAACACACTGCTGTAAGTTCGATATGCGTCAAAATGTCGAAAAAGTCGCACATGTAGTAGTCAAATGACTTTAAAAAAAATTTAAAATAAAAATTACCTAGAAAAGTGGATATCATCCTTAAAAGACCTGATTTTGATATTGAGGCATCGCTCTCAACACTCATAGACCCATAAGCAATAATACTTTGTGGATCTTTGAGATACATTACTGATTATTCACTATCAAAACCGACTCTTTCAAAAATGACGTCTAATTAGACGAATTTATATTTCTTGGTATTTTTCCACCGAAAACTGTCTCGACTTA